GGACATCAGGCAAGCTCAAAAGAACCTCAAACACCCTTGGAAGTTGCTGCATTGTCCAGCTCGAAGTCAACTGAAACAGGTATTTCATGAACTTCTATCTCTCTATTTAGGAATAGTTAGACTTAGGTTTGTGAATGAAAGATGTTGTATTCATAGCCCTGAAACCATACATGTGCTTAGTTTTTATTTATATTAATCGTGCTAGGAGAATTTCATCCATGAACTTTCTGAAAAAACTAGGTTAAGAATTAGGGCCAGAGAAATTCTCTCTGGTTTTTGAGAGTTAGCTTAAGTTTTTTATATGGTTAGATTCGTTGTTTGATGCTCTACAAGTTTCATGTTATGAGTTTTGTCAAAAAGCACAGAATCAGGAGATAGCATTTTGTACATAGAGCGTGCGCGTTTCTGTTCAGAGGAAGAAGATGAAGTTGGTTTTGGGCTGGGCCTGGACAGGCTTGCTTTTGGCACCCCCACTTTTCTTTTTGCACCCCCTGGCCCTTTTCTTGTATATTTATCATTTTTGCATTTTTATTTTATTTCTGACCTTGATATTTTATTCTCAAATATAAAAAATACTTAAAAAAATATTTTCATAAAATTTTAAATTTATTTGGTATTTATTTCAATTGTTTCTAGTATTAATACATTAAATACTTTATATTTACTTTTGTTTAAATGTAAAAATAATGTAAAATTTTTTTTTTTATTTATATTTATTATTTTTATACACATTTGAAAATATTTTCTTGAAATATATACATTTTCTTTGTAAATAATTTATTTTATTTTTATACACTTAATATATATATATATATATATATATATATATATATATATATATATATATATATATATATATATATATATATATATATATATATATATATATATATATATATATATATATATATATATATATATATATATATATATATATATATATATATATATATATATATATATATATATATATATATATATATATATATATAATATATTTTATTAAATAATTAGAACAAAAAACACAAAAATAATACATTTTTATTTTTATTAATATTTTATACTAAAAATACCCTTTTTTTTAATATACTTTCATTTTTGTACAAATTGATACATTATTGTATATAAATAATAAATAATACTATTTAGGCTTAAATGCAGTTTTGACCCCCCTAGTTTAAAGTTTTTGGAGTTTCGATCCCCCTAGTTTAAAAGCCAGGTTTCTAGTCCCCAAAGTTTTCAAATTTGGGATTTTTGAAGCCCCCTCCATCTGGCTGCCCAAAAAGTGACATGGCACAGGGAGAGTAATGCCACGTATTTTTTTTTTTTTTAAAAAAAAAAATTTTTTTTTTTCTTCTCCTCACGGGCAAAATTAAGGTTCGAAAGGAAAAAAAAAAAAAACGTGGCATTACTCTCCCTGTGCCATGTCACTTTTTGGGCAGCCAGATGAAGGGGGCTTCAAAAATCCCAAATTTGAAAACTTTGGGGACTAGAAACCTGGCTTTTAAACTAGGGGGATCGAAACTCCAAAAACCTTAAACTAGGGGGGTCAAAACTGTATTAAATAATTAGAACAAAAAACACAAAAATAATACATTTTTATTTTTATTAATATTTTATACTAAAAATACCCTTTTTTTTAATATACTTTCATTTTTGTACAAATTGATACATTATTGTATATAAATAATAAATAATACTATTTATTTAAGAAATTAAGGTTTTTGCCCTAAAAACAAAAAATAATTAAAATTGACTTTTTATTTATTTACATTTCACATTAAAAAATCCTTTTTTACATACATAAAATCTTTTTGCATAATACATTTTATTTAATACTTATTTATTATATTTATCTAAGTATTGTACATTTAATTGTTATGCCTTATCATTCAATTTGGTTGTAATAATTTAGGATTTAATTTCTTGCAAAATAATCCCCAATTCAAATTTGTACCCCCTTCCCTATATCATATTGTAATAGTGTAGAATTTAAATTCTCGCACCTTTAAGCTTTCAATTATGCCATGATTAGACTTAGGGTTTTGTATGCAAAAATCAAATTAACAAATAGTTTGACCTAATCCAAGATAAAAGTGCATGAAAAACAAACACAATGCACACTTGCACTCCTAGGGTTACAATCCACTTGTTGCCTTCAAAAATGGGTCATGATATGCACGTCAAGTACTTTGGCAAAACAAAAACAAACAAAAGATCATAGTCCCTCGATGACGCTATCTGAGTTGCCTAAGCAAAATGATCAAGTCCCTCAAGAAAATTGCCAAAAATACTTGACATAATTGCTATCATGGTCTATACGATGACCCGCGCCTGTCCCGTTTAACATCCTAACACAAGGTTGTTCACCAAATACAATGGTGAAACAACACTGTTAAAAGGGTTAAAAAACATAAGAAAGATCTTTGAGTAAAATAGGGTAGACAACTCTTAGTTACTTGATCAAAATTCTTGCAAAACATCCTTGCCATTTTCAAACACACATCACAACACAACTTCAAAACAATTTCAAAACAACTTTCAAAACATTGGAATATCTTTTCAAAAAGACATACACCTTTGTATATATTCAAACAAGAATCATTACAAAGGTTGCCTAGACAAGGTATCTTTTTCAAAGCATTTTCAAAACCACACACACAAAGCACCATTTCAAACAATTGAAAAGCAAAGGCAAGTGATCTAAGCAAGTAACTAAGAGCCCATGGATAACCATGGATAAAAAGGGTGCTAATACCTTCCCTTTCTATAATCTACTCCCCGAATCCAAGAAAACATCTCAAAGGTCTTTCCTGTGCTTTTTGACCTTTCAGGATAAAATAAAAAGTTGGTGGCGACTCTTGCTAAACCGAAACATTTGCAAACACAAACGCAAAATCCCAAGTCAGTTCTCCCACCGTATCACACTTATCATCTTTCTTCTTGACTTTGTTGTGAGTTTTTTTTCTCCTGTTCATCTGTTGCATTTACAGCCAACGCAGAAACGCCGTCGGTAACCACTTCTAAGATTTCATGGAAGTTAAATAAGGGGCATATATTTTTTCCATTGGATCCAATTTTTTCCGTCAAGTATTGGAAGAGAATTCGGAATGCCCTTATCACTAGCCAAATAAGGATACATACTATGACTATTTACATACAACCCTAATTGAATTTAGGCTTAACACAACTTAGATTATTTTTAAATATTAAATCTAATCAAATCTATTTTAATATTTCAACAATTTACCTATTGCCTCTTTGAACTCGATCTTGTGTTTTATCTCCTCTTTCTTATAGAACACATTACTTAATTTTCCACCTTTCAGTGGCTTTGTGAGTATGACAATTAAAAAAAGAAGTTTAGAATCAAGATGGGAAGGCTCAAGATTCAGAGCCTCAAACTCCCCATTCTGTGATTAATTACATGAGTAGTTTAGAATCTAATAAAATCAGTGATTAATTACATTCAATGTGTCCCACATATAAAATGTAACTTCTTGGCTTTTCATCAGAACAACAACAAGAATGTGCAGTTGCATTGCGTTGCCTTTTAACTAATGAAAATGATGCATCAATTATGGTCAGGATGATGGAACAAGGAAAACGTTGGAAGTAAAATGAAGATGGATGGCACTGCATGTGTCTTGAGAACTTAGTTGTGGTTAAAGTTCCATTGTTTTCATTAAAAAAAAGTTTAGTGTTTATATATTTAACACAAACACTTGAAGAGATGGACCAAATTCATAGGCCTTAGCCCAAAAATATTCTTTTAAAAATTTGTATTAAATAATTTCTAAATAACAAAAAAAATGATTTTTTAAAATGTTAAAAATCATTAAACTAGAACGACGAATCATAAGAGAATAGAGAGGATTAAAGCAAAGGCTGAAAACGAAATCAGACTCAACACGTCTGGTTTTCCATTCAAATCTTTATTTTCAAATAAAAAAGAGTACAAAGATGTTAGCAAAAAAACAAGAACACGTTTTAAGACTGATAGCTGTTGACAAAATATGTTGTTTTTATATGAACAAAAAAAAAAAAGAGTAATAATATATAGTGTGAACATGAGAACACTCCAGCTCATAAAGTCAAAGACTCATGTTGAAATAAATATCTTCACAAAGTAGGTACTCTAAATTATTGTCAAGACTTTTACTCAAAATTTCTTTTATAGCTTCTCATCCAAAATAAAAATTGCAGCAGGTGTTCCTCTCAACATTACCAATTATAGATTTCATCCGAAGTAGAAATTGGTTTCATCTGGTTGTGTAAGAAATTTTCAATAACATGACACCTATTCTATTGGCAAAATATTGAGGAGGGTTTCGCTCGGATCTAAATATTGAAGAGTTTCTGGTTTCAATCCTTTTACTTTTTCTTGTTATTGGATATCTTGTTCATACACATATTTTTTTGTTTCTCGCTTCTCTAATGAATTACAGACAGAGTTCGAACATGTTAAATCTTTGAAGATTCTATCATACATCATTGAATTACGAAAACTTCTGAATAGGTATCCTATATCAGAACAACATTCTTTCTGGTTAAAGGATATTTTTCGAGTTACTCGAGAACAATTAGGAAATTTTTTAGAAGAAAGGCGAGGTTTGCCTTCTGGCGGGGACATCCCAAGGGATGGTGGTTTCGCTGATGAAGTCAAATACATATGTTCAAAGAAGAAAGGTTTTAATCTCATGAATCTCATAAGTATTATACCAAATTCCATTAATCGAATCACGTTTTTGAGAAATACGAGACATTTAAGTCATACAAGTAAAGCAATCTTTTCATTGATAAGGAAAAGAAAAAACATGAATAGTAATTGAGTTGATGATAAAATAAAATCCTGGATCTCGAATAGTGATTTCATTGCTGATAAAGAAAGAGAGTTCTTGGTTCAGTTCTCTACCTTAACGACAGAAAAAAGATTGGATCAAACTTTATTGAGTTTGACTAATAGTGATCAGTTATCAGAGAATAGCTCTGGTTATCAAATGATTGAGCAACTAGGAACAATTTACTTACGATATTTAATTGGCATTCATAAAAAGGATCTGATGAATCATGAGTTCTATAAATCCTGCTTAGCAGAAAGACGGGTATTCCTCGCTCATTATCAGATAATCACTTATTCAGAAATCCCGTGTTGGGCTAGTTGTTTGGATTTCCCATCTCATGGAAAACCCTTTTCGCTATGCTTAGCCTTATCCCCTGCTAGGGGTATTTTAGTGATAGGTTCGATAGGAAATGGACGATCCTATTTGCTCAAATATCTAGCGACAACCACCTATGTTCCTCTCATTACAGTATTTGTAAACAAGTTCCTAGATAACTTTCCTAAGGATTTTGATAGTGATGATAGTGAGGGCGACATGTTTGATGAAAGAGAGGGTACCATTTACAATCTTTTACCTAATAACAAGGCTAGTTACTACAATTCCGAGAATTATGAAAGGGGTGATAGTGACGATCTCGACCGTAAGCTTGATAGCCAGTTGAAGTTTCTAAGTTGGAGGATCCAGTATCTAGCGATCTGATGGAAATAGACCAGTTTTATCTCACACTTCAATTAGAATTAGCAAAAGCAATGTCTCCTTGCATAATTTGGATTCCAAACATTCATGATCTGGATAAGAATGAGTCGAATGACTTATCGTCGGGTATATTAGTGAACTTTCTTTCCAGTGATTCGTAAAAAGGTTTTACTAGAAATATTCTAGTTATTGCTTCTACTCATATTCCAAAAAAAGTAGATCCTGCTTTAATAGCTCAGAATAAATTAAATACATGCATTAAGATACATAAGCTTCTTATTCCACAACAAATAAAACACTTTTTACTCTTTCATATACTAGGAGATTTCACTTGGAAAAGCAAATATTCAATACTAATGGATTGGGGTCTATAACTATGGGTTCTAATGTACGAGATCTTGTAGCACTTACTAATGAGGCTCAACTGATTAGTATTGTACAAAAGAAATCTATTATAGACACTAATATAATTAGATATGCTCTTCATAGACAAACTTGGGATTTTAGATCTCAGATAAGAGCGATTCAGGATCATGAGATCCTTTTTTATTAGGGAGGGCTGTTTCACAAAATCTACTTCTAAGTAATTGCTCTATCGATCCTATATCTATCTATGTGAAGAAGAAATCATGTGCAGAGGGGGATTCTTATTTGTATAAATGGTACTTCAAACTTGGAACAAGCATGCATAAATTAACTATACTTCTTTATCTTTTGAGTTGTTCTGCCGGATCGGTCGCTCAAGATCTTTGGTCTCTACCCGGACCTAATGAAAAAAAATGTTGGGATCACTTCTTATAGACTCCTTGAGAATGATTTTGATCTAGTTCATGGGCTATTAGAAATAGAAGGTGCTCTGCTGGAACCCTCACAGACAGGAAGTCGGTTTGATAATGATGGCGTGACATTGCTTCTTCGGTCCGAACCAAGAAATCACTTAAATATGATTCAAAATGGGTCTTCTTCTATCCTTGATCATATATTTCTTTATGAAAAATATGAATCGGGGTTCGAAGAAGGGGAATGAGTCTTCGACCCTTAACCGCTAGAGGAGGATTTATTCAATCACATACTTTGGGCTCCTAGACTGTGGTACCCTTGGGACTTTCTCTTTGACGAAGGGTCCAATGAATTGAGATTTCCATATATGGATAATATCACATTGAAAGTATCTTTTAATTAGAATAGATTGGATTCACGTGACAATTAATATGGGACTTCCGAACTTATTAATGGAGGATAAGCCTGAAAGAATCAAAGAATTACATACTAATGTGAGAAAAAAAATTAATTGTGTGAACTGACAAATCAACATTGGAATTAAAAGAATTCCAAATGTTTATAGAGACCTGAATATTCTTACATAATTTATAGCCGAGCAATTAAAGAATAGAATTTCGTTTCGTAAAGCAGTGAAAAAAGCTATTGAATTAGCTGAACAAGCAGGTACAAAAGAAGTTCAAATACAAATTGCGGGACGCATCGACGGAAAAGAAATTGCATGTGTCGAATGGATCAAAGAAGGCAGGGTTCCTCTACAAACCATTCGAGCTAAAATTGATAGGTGTTCCTATCCAGTTCGAACTATTTATGGGGTCTTAGGAATCAAAGTTTGGATATTTATAAACAACGACTAATAAACTTTTCCTTATAACGTTCCATCTTTTGAGAAAACAAAAAATGAAGAATTAATACTACGTTTTTATTCTCAAAGAAGAAATTAAAATTTTTATAAGATTGAATAAAAAAATCTATTAATCATTTTATAATGAATAAGTTGCTATGCTTAATGTGTGACTCGTTGGTTTTTTTAGAGTGGTTAATTTTCTACAAAAATTCGTAGAATTAATTACTAAAGAATAAATAACCTACTCATAGCTTCTCATTATCTAGATATAAAGAACCGTCGAAAATCTAAAATCAAAATAAGGATTTATGTGGTGATATAATTATAGCAACTGAAATAAAAAAATAAGATTATTAGTTGTAAAGCAATAAGAATATACAAATAAATGAAGGGGTGAAATAAAGATAGAAAAAGGATATCAATGATATAGAATTCTACTATGTAAAGGTCTATGGGTCATCTCATAAAAAGTAGTGTAATAAAGCATCAATATTCAAAATTCATCCATATATGAATGAATATATTCCTAGAATAAACGAATCAAGAGCCATGAATCAAGAAAACTGAGAAGGTTCATTCATCAAAAAAGAATAAAATAAGAAAATAAAAAATTTAATCTTATTAAAGAGGCTCCATTGTAGAATTTAGACCTAACCATAAATCAAAAAGCGGTGGGAACAACGGAACCTGTGAATACAAAAGATTATATTAAAATTTAAAATCTTACTGATTCATTAGATGGGATGGCGGAAGGAACTAAGAATTAATTCTTTTTTGAGGACTTGTGGACTAACCCTACATTACATCTTCAATTTATAATGAGAGTAAATATTCTCCCGCGAAAATGTGGATTTTTTTGGAATTGATAAATTTTTGCCAATCCAATATGATATTAATAAAGAAAGAAAAATACCGATTCAGTAGAATCTTATATCCAAAAATATTAGCTAGTTAGATAATAACCCTACATTACATCTTCAATTTATTAAACATATGTATCTTATTATAGTAATTATTATTATTTTCTCGATTCAATATTTTTCAATTGATTTATTCGCGAGGAGCCGTATGAGGTGAAAATCTCATGTATGGTTCTGTAATAGAGATGAAATTGAGAAATAACCATCAACTATAGCATAAAAGAACGAGATTCTGCAAACATCATAGAGGAAGAATGAAAAGAAAAGCCTCTCGTGGTAGTAAAATTTACTTCGGAAAATATGCTCTTCAGGCACTTGAGCCCGCTTGGATCAAATCTAGACAACTAGAAACGGGTCGACAAGCAATGTCACAAAATGTTCGCCGGGGTGGACAAATATGGGTACACATATTTCCAGACAAACTTGTTACAGTAAGACCTACCGAAACGCGTATGGGTTTGGGAAAAGGATCGTCCGAATATTGGGTAGCTGTTGTTAAACCCGGCAAAATACTTTATGAAATGGGAGGTGTTCTAGAAAATATCGCTAGAAAGGTGATTTCAATAACGGCATCCAAAATGCCTATACGAACTCAATAAATTCTTTCTGAATAATCATTAGAACGAAGAGGTCTTTAGTATGAAAAAAGGCAATTCTCCATTTTTTTAACACAAAGTATTTGTTTTACTTCAACTTTTTGACTGAAACTGAAAGATAAGAAAAAAAGGATATGATTCAACCCAAACCTATTTAAATGTAGCCGATAATAGCAGAGCGCGCGAATTGATGTGTATTTGAATCATAGGAGGAGCTAGTAATCAACGGTATTGCTTATATTGGTGACATTGTTGTTGCTGTAATAAAAAAAGCAGTGCCAAATTCATCTTTAGAAAGATCTCAAGTCATTAGAGTTGTAATTATACATACTTGTAAATAACTAAAACATCGTAATGGTATAATAATAAAGTATGATGATAAATGTGGCGGTTCTCATTGATAAAGAAGGAAATCCAAAAGGAACTCGAATTTTTTCCACAATAGCCCGAGAAGTGAGACAGTTAAATTTCACTGAAATAGTTTCATTAGCACCCGATGTATTATAATAAGAGATCATGATATAGATATATTATTTATGACTTGAATGAATAGAAAATAGATTAAAATACGAATGAAACATATATTATATATTCAGTTCAATATATTCAAAATAAAAATTTGAATTCTATTTGTATAAAAAATAGAATTCTAATTCAATATAATACTATTTATATAGTTTCAAATAGGTCATTCGTTCATTTTATTTCTATCTTTTTTTAGTTTTAGAATATTCTATATTCTATATTCTATATTTAGATTATCCTAATTACAATCAAATTTTCTATACATATAGAGTATTATTCTATTCTCATATTCAATATTAGAGATTTGATTGAATCAAAAAAAAAAAACGGGAGCACATTGATCATATCAAAAGTAAGGAGAAAAAATCTATCGTGGGTAAAGATACTATCAGTGATATACTAGCCTTGATACACAATGCTGGCATGAATAGATAAAGAACACTTAAAATACCATTTACTAATATCACCGAAAACATTGTAAAAATTCTTTTACGAGAGGGTTTTGTTGAAAATGTCAGAAAACATCGAGAAAGCAACAAATACTTTTTTGTTGTAACTCTACAGTATAGAATAAATAGGAAAGGATCCTATAAAACTTTTTAAAGTTTAAAAAGGACCAGTACACCTGGTCTACGAATATATTCTAAGTATAAAAAAATTCTGAAAGTTTTAGAAGGGATGAGGATTGTAATTCTTTCTACTTCTAGGGGTATAATGACAGATCGAGAGGCTCGATTAGAAAGAATTATGGGATACGTTTTATGTTATATATGGTAATGCTAATTTTGCCGATATCTGAATTATATGAAAAAACTTAGAGCCAACAATATTGTGAATGGAGGGAGTAGAGAAAAAACAGATTTCTAATATTATTCATGATATATTAGTGAATATGGAAGAGGTTTTAACTAGAATAGAAAAGAAAATTAATGAAGACTAAATTAATCAACAACTTACGAGGGTATGTTGCAGGTTGCTTTAGAGAAATAGAATTCAAATCAGATTCTAGGTTATGTTTCCACTAGATACGACCAAAAAAAGGAAGTATAGCTGATTCCATTCGATTAGACTGTTTTATAACTTCAACATATTTTTTAGGAGGAACAATTTTAAGTTCAAAATGTAAGGAAACCCTATTTTCTTCCAATATATAAATTGGTATTCAATTTAATTTAAGGAGTTAAAAATATGAAAGTGGCGGCCTCAGTTCGTAAAATTTTTGAAAAATGTCGATTGATCTGTAGGCGAGGTCGACTTATAGTAATTTGTTCCAATCTAAAACATAAACAAAGACAAAGATAATATTAAAAGAAAAAGGGCTTTGTATTCATAATA